CTCTTGCACTGGCTACCTATAAAATATAGAATAATTTTTAAATTTGCACGTTCATGTATAAGTCTCAATCTAAATTATTTCCTAAGTATTTATCAGATATATTAATTGAACCTAAACGCCCTGGTTTACGATCGTCTTCTTGTTCTCGCTTCTTAACTCGTGTTAAACACTCTTTTGCCAAATCTGCTTTTGCTTTTTCTGGTCCTTTTCTCTGGAACTCTCTACCTACTTCTCTGGCTACTTCTCCATCACTTGCGAAGTTCAGAGAGGATCTCAAGACCCATCTGTTTTCAAAATTTATTGAGGAGCGCTGTTGAACATCGCGGAAATAGCGCTTTATAAGCTAATTGATTGGTTGATTGATTGATTGATTAAAGTCAATGGCAACTAATTTGACAACAAATAGACACAAATGTTTAAAAATATTTTATTAAAAAATGTAAATGAAATGATATTTTTTTTCCATAGAAACTTCCAATTGATTATCTAAAGTTTATCTCAAAAAAAGTTATATTTTGTATGAAAAAATGAATTAGATAAAAAAATGAATTATTAAAACTGACAAATAATTTAAGGAAAGGGTTAAAACTGATAAGTTTACATTCTGGAATGAAAAAAGTTGATATAATGATGACTTGAAACTAGTTAATATATTGCTGCGGTAAAATTATGATGTAGATTAATGATCAGATATTTACAAATGCAGATGGAAATGCAATAATAAACTCTTGCAGAAAAAATACTGAATATTATAAAGAGATTTAAAAAATGCATGTTTAAATTGAAATCAAAAATTTGATAACATTAAATGATTGGATATAAAGGCATACATGTTAGGTAGAGAAGGTCTTGAAAATAATTTTGTTAATTGATGAATATATAAAAAGGTATAATGAACATTTTTCAATAATGAGGTTTGATTTATATTTACAATATTAAAAATTTTTTGTCGTCAGCATAATTTCAAAAACTAATTATGACAGGAATAAAAAATTGAAGGTCAATTGTTAAATGTTTTGAATGAAAAAACAAATTCCAAAACAATGAAGAATTGAAATATTTGTTGATGCATTATTGTTTCAATTGAATGAATCAAATGTGAAAACTCAATTAGAAATGAAATATGATTGAAGTATGTTAATGTATGTAAAAATATGTTGAAAATAATGATTTCATAGATAAAAAAATAAATAAAATATAAAATAATGACCGAATAAAAAATACAGATTTTACCAATAGATAGCAAAAGAATGTTTAATATATATATGAAACAAATATAATTATTAAGTAAATCAAACAATTCAAAATTTACAAATGGTTGATAAATCTTTTCATTGATAAATGATTTTACTGTCCCTTGAAATGTATTAACTTATGAAATTTAGAACGGATCTTTATTTGATTTGTGGTTTTTGCGAAATGAAATGAACGTACATTTATATATGTTTTTGCAATAAGTAAACAAAAATAATGATTATTTAGTCCATTAAATGTATCTGTTTATGTTATATGTTATATGTTCTTTGAGATTTAATAAATCTTCATTGGCCAACCTTTTAAAATCCTAAACAAATAATATGCAATAGGATATTTCCATCTTCCTGATGTGCCAACTACTATAAATACCAGGACTTGTTTTGCCAATTCACCAGATGCAAAGTCTCCTCCTAAATTTTCATAACCTGTGTACATGCCTTTATGTTGCAAATAAATGAGTTGTTCACGAATTGACAATGCTATCAAGGATCAATGAACAGTATGTAAACCGTTTGGCATCCGGTTTTTTTTCTAGAAAAGTTAACATAGCCCGATTGAGGCCTGGCTCTCCATCTACTGATTCCAGCCACCTTGATATGTAACATAAGCAAATTCATTAAAATTTGTATTTTATAATTGTACTTTATAATTTACTTTATCATTGTAAAATGAAACACATTTTGATTTTGAGTAAATAACTCACCTTGATAATGTTCGCTTATGTGGCAAATGCAAGCCTTGCGATTTTAAAAATTGGTAACCTTTACCACTATACAAGTGTAAGGTTAATGCAAATCTTTTTTGTTCATCTTTGTTCATTTGTTATATTCCAAAAATTTCATAAAGTAATTTTTTAAATGACAATTCAGCTTTTTGAAATAGAATGAATTATATGAATATGTGAATTATATATAATTATATGAATTATATATAAATGCAAATAGCACAAGGTTAGATTTTATTATTGTTGGCTTTGTAAACGATCCTGGAATTTAATTTTTCTACTTAGATTAATAAATCAGGTTATTCGAAAGCAAACTTATAAATTATATTCCAAAAAGAAGATGGCTTCAAAAACAAGTAAGTTGTATTTTCATATTATAAAAAGAAATAATGACGAATTTGAATTAGCAGGCATATCGGAAAATAAAAAAACATGGTATGTCCTACCTGAAGAGAAGAAAGATTTAAGTTTGCACGAAGCTCTATCTACGAAGCGAGCAATAATCAATACAATTAATTCTATCAAACCTATCAACGGTTAGCGCACAATTTGCATCAAACTCGATGATGAATTGAAAAAAGAATATTACGACGAAGACGAAAATCTACGTTTTTTAGATAATATGTTAGAAGAAAAAATTATTGATAATAAACATAGAGATGAATCAGATGACAATTTTTTAGATGAACGAATTAAGGAATTAGAAGCTAAACTAAGACTTAATGATAAGTATAAGTTGCAAGACGTTGAAAAAAAAATTTTTCTGGAAAAATTCAACAAAAAGCAAAACCCTACTGAATGGATAGAGAAATTTGAAAATGAATGTAGAAGGCATAAAATACTAAATCTTACTAATGTCATAAAAACATTACGCTTCTTTTTATCTGGGTCACCGGAAGATTGGTACGAATCAAATTTAAAAAAGATCGGTTTAACTAATTGGTCAGAATGGAGAAAGTCCTTTCTGACCATTTTTGCAGATAGAGGTTGGAAATAAAAAAGAACCGCATATAATTACAAATATTTAGGTGGTTCTGTAATAGACTATGCCTTAGCGAAGGAAAACCTATGTTTAGAAATTGAAATGTCGAGAATAAATATAATCGTTATGGGCCTTCCTGTAGAAATACAAAACCAGCTTGATAGAGAAACTGTTCAAAGAACTAACAAAAATTGATAAATGCGTTTCTAACATCAAGCCGAAATATGACAATAAATTTTTAATTAATGAAATACCATACAATACGGATGTCAAGACAAAGCAACTTTATCAACACAAACAGAGATATAAAAATGTAGACAAAGAAATTTCGGTACCAAAATACAAAGTAGAAGCAAAGACAAATAATACTCTAAATAAACAAAATCAAAGATATGAAAATAACACTCTAAATGAAGAAAATTTTGTTAGAAAATTTTATCAGGTCAGAGAAGAATACCACAGCAAATAAACCATATATTATGTGTGAAGAATTGGGCTGGAAAAATCGATACCATCCAACAAACGAATGTAGAAATAAGACTCTTTACTCATCAAAAAGAGAAATTAATATTCATGATACTAACTACCAAACAGATGACGAAGCACATATGATGAAAATTGAAATTGACAAGAAATCTTTAAACTAGAAAGCTCGGGAAAATTGCATGCACTGGTAAGAGTAAACGTAATAATCGATAATAAATTAAAAGTTAAAGCGGTTTATGATAGTGGATCAAATTTAAGTCTAATAAATAGGAAAAGCATAGATATTTTAAAACTAGGGTTAATGAATAATAAAAGTACTTTCAAAAGATCAAAACTATCAGTGGGTTCAATTTTAGTTCCGCCCGGGCAAATATAGTTGTTAAGGTTTGTAATTTAACGGATAATTTATATACATACGTAGTTAAAAATAACAATTTTTCCTATGACCTGTTACTGGGTCTAGATGCAATAAAAAAGTTCAAACTAACTCAAAATGAAAATTTTAACATTCTACAAAGAATTAATAAAAACAAGATCATCAAAATAGAAGAAAGAAAAAGGATGAAAAACAATCACAACATGGTTAAATCAGATGGACTGAATGACAACCAATTTAATCTACAAAAGGCAGAAAAAAATAACTTAATTAAAATTTAAGAAGTCAACTTTAACGAAAATATGAATAATACAATTTGTGAAAATTTAGACCACATTGAAGATGAAAATAGAAGAAAAGATATTTTAAATTTAATAAACAAGTACAAACATATGTTTGTAAAAGATAAATATGATGTAGGAAAAGTGAAGTCTAAAGAAGCAGAAATAAAATTAACCAGAGATGAATATGTAACAGCAAGACCATATAAATGTTCCATAGTTGATGAGGAGGAAATCAAGACTCAAGTCAAGAAGTTGTTAGAAGCTGATTTAATTGAAGAATCGGTATCCCCTTATGCCTCGCCAGTAACTCTTGCTTTTAAAAAAGATGATGGTCGTCGGACAAGACTTTGCATTGATTTCAGACGATTAAATAAATTAGTAGTTCCTGAATGCTATCCATTCCCTACTATTAATGATGTCATAGATAAAGTACCAAATTGCAAATATTTCACTGTACTTGATACAAATTCTGCATTTTGGTGTATATTATTAAAAAAGATAGAGAAAAAACTTCATTTATCACTAAGTATGGAAAATTCATGTTTAAAGTTTTACCCTTTGGTCTTAAAAATTCTCCAGCAATTTTTCAACGTATTCTATCCAATATCATAAGAAGAAATAATCTGGACAATTTTTGCATTAACTATATTGATGACATACTTATATTTTCACGCTCTTGGGAAGAACACATTATTCGTATTGAAAAAATTCTACAAATTATCACAGAAGATGGTTTATTATTATAATTATATTGTATAGTGTTATACTTTATAGCTATAGTATAGTGTATGTATAGTATAGTCTAAATTAAATTAACTTGCGTAAAGTAACATTTTCATCTAAATAAGATGAGTGGAACACATCTTGAGAATCTGTGTCTGTCAAATCAAATACTAAGCAAATATTTTCTAATTAAAAATGTATTATTGTTTTTAATTTTATTTTGACAAGTTAAGAATTAAGATTCTCTAATAGTTTAATCTCAATGTCATGTCATGTGTACTAACTACTTATGTATGTAGGAATGTAAAATGTATGAAATGAAATGTATAAATGCAGAAAATTATACTAATACCTTTTCTTTTTTAAATGTACAATACGAAATCGAATTTAAAACAGCAAACGAGACAAAAACTTCGCAAGCGATAATTTCAGATCAGATGATTAATCAAAGACGCTGAAGAAGACAACGACGATGCTTGATACATAGAACAAAAAACAATTTTTGTAATAAATTAATTTTTATGCCATATCCATTATATCCATGCTTGGAACTTATACAACATTATTACGCGGTTTAAAATTATGAAACTTTTTTTTATTTTTTATTAACAAATATTATTATTATATAATATTATTACAAATAGAAAAAAAATGAAGCCCTTCAGTTAAAATATTTACAAATTGAAAATAAATGAAGCGCTTCGGTTGGAATATGAATATTAATGAAGGCGGAGTCAAATTTAGAAGTCTTCAATATTATCCTATGTAAACAACATAAGCTGCGGTGCTAAGAGTTTACCATCATGAAGAATACGCCGTTATGCACCACCCACTTTTTTTGATTGTCACTTATCACATGCATAAAAAGAAGAAACTAAACCGACAATGATGAAGTGAAAAGATGTAAAGCTTTAAAAGTGAAATTAGATTTTAAAATTTATATCATGAATTCAATTACAATTTTGTAACATAGCTTTTTTATTAATCTTTTCTTTATAATTAAACAAATTTTACGACGCAATTTAAGATGCATTTAAAAATTTCCATAATCAAAAAACGACAGACAGCACACAAATCAATTCTTTTGTAAACTTAATCTGAACTAAATGAATTAAATTATTTAACAAACTTTTGAAAAGTTATAAAATAAAAGTTTGTTTCGGTTGTATAAGGAATAACAATGGCTTTTTGCTATTATTTAATATTTCATTTTAAGCACTTTGCATCTTAACGATTGTCCCTTGGGTGACTCTGAAAAGAGCCTTTTGTTGGGATATTCTCAAACTGGATAAAATTTCCTCATAAGAGTGAGCGCCTTTTCTAACTTATCTTTTTTTCTAGCATTGCTCTTATATCACATAAATTCATCCAAATAAGAGGACAAGTGGTTGTCACATGTTCCTCTCATTTTTTTGAACTTGTCTTTGGCGCACCTCCACATCTTCAGCACTTTTTGCAGTTTATCTAGAGAATTTGTATAATTTTGTTCGAAATATTAAGAAATATTTCGAACAAAATTTATTTACTGTTTATGAAGTAAATAAATATAAAACACGTTTATTAATTTTTAGAATTATTCATGAAAATAATAAACTAAATAAACACATCATAAATTTAATTGAATACAATAGAATTTCAAACAACCGATCTAATGATAAACTTTTAATTAAAACAAATTTAATATTGAATAAAATTAGTGCTCGTCAGTTTTTCTATTATGCGCCGTTGGTTTGGAATGGACTGCCATTTTATTTGAGGGCTTTGACAAATTATAATGATTTCAAAATTCAATTAAAGACCTATTTTATATGTTTGTCATAATGTTTTATAATTTTTTTTTCATATAGCTACTTTTGTTTTATACATTTTCTTGATTGGGTTTTGTGGTTAGGTGTGTGCGCATGAGTGTTGTGTTTGAATGTTTGTCTATGTGATGTACAATTGGAAATTACTATTATATTATTAACAGCCAAATAATGCTTGAACATAACTATTTCCGTTATTACTTTTATTGTGTGTGATCAATTGAATATGTGACTTTAAATGTATGGAATGGATGTTTTTGGGGTTGGCTGAAAAAAACACTCGTGGTTATGCTGGACCCTTTTTTTCAAAATTATTTTTTTAATGTTTGAAAAATAAACGGATAAAAAAAATGTAAAAAAAAACTATCCAACGCTAAAAATTCTGTAGGTTTCATAAATTATTGCATTAATTAGGGCCTTTTACAAGCACTATGATACAATATGATATATATATATATATATATATTATTTTATATATATATATATTATTTTATGAACTTAATAAATTCTACCAAGTTGTCATCAATCAATTTAATTTTTTTTAAATTTTTCTTAACTAGGATTTTCTGAAAATTGTCCAATTTATTAAAAATAAAATTATTATACAATTTCATTAATTGTTGGTGTCACTTTCTTGCTCCCCATTGTTATTGGAATTATCATTAGGGCGTCGAGCTGGTAATGATGTAATCATTCTTTGTTGGATCTTTTTGTGACTTATTAATGTCTATTAGGACATCTTCTGCAATTCTGCGGTAATGTTTTGGTGTTTTGACGAAATTATTTTATGTGTAGTTGTCAAGAATTTGGCGTGTTATCGGTTGTAAGTGATATTTTATGGTTCCTTTTTGTGTACACATTTTAAACGTCTCCATAGTGAAGTGGTCGTAACACCAATGTGAACGTGGTTGACGTGCATATTCGTCAATAAAGTTGACTCCATTAACAGGCAAAATTTTTGACAAGAAAGCAAGAACAGAGCAAGAAAGTAAATACAAAGAAGATGAAAAATATGACACCAATTAATTAACTACTTATCCTTTGTCTAAGAAGTTTTATAAACCAAAACTGCATCATGGATATGGCAGACGTCATATGTATTTGTGCATGCAGTTGTTTAAAAATATCACAGCATTGTATGCGTTGTTCAATTCGCAATTAAGTTTTTCAAATTTCCGTTTATTATCAAGTTTTTTCAGTTCATAAACAAAAATTTTTATTCATTATTTACATTTTCGTTTAAATATACAATTTAACATATAAAGCTTTTTTCGACAATCATCTGTCATCATCAGCGTCGAATACGGATTTTGTTTAATGTGTCTTTTTATATAGGCTTTGAGTGACTTTGTAATAGTGCTTCACTAAGTGAATTTGTTCGAATTCTGACTTTGTTACTGAGTGTCTTCACCAAGTGAATTTATTCAAATTCTGACTGTTAGCCGGTAGGACTCCAGTAGCGTGTTGTTGAATATTTGCTGGACGTCTTTGTTCGATGAGCTAAGATTTTGCAATCCTTAAATTGTGTGGATTGTTGTTGTAGTAAATAATTTCTATTGTCAAGCATCTCTCTAGTGATTTTCATGTTGTGTTTCTCTTTCAGGTGATTCTTCATTGCTGCTGATAGAACATGCATGGTAAGCATGTCAATTATATCAATTATAGTATGATTGTCAATTATAGTATCAATTCATCAATTGTTGTCATCTTGGTGTATTCAGTTTTGGCGCCCACACTCACCAATTTTGCATTTATGGTGACTACGGTTTATTATCGTTTTTGGCTTGCTTGTGCATTTGTTTTTCATATTTAGATATAAAATTTTATAGTTATTGTAATAGATCAATGAACAATAGTAATTGTAATAGTAAAATGAACAATGCATTAAGTTGCTCGAGTTTGTTTGCACAAGAAAATCAGGAGCAGTATTTGAGTCAGGTGGGCTTCAGTGTGTTTTAACATTCATCAGAGAACATGAAACCCAAGTTTGCTCCATTTTATTTCTAAAATAAGTTTTAATTAACAATTTTCATACGCATTCATGAAATGTGTCCTTGAGAAAACCTTCGTTTTATAGAAGGTGCTATATTAATGCTCAAATTATAATAATGCCAGTAATAATAATAATAATTTGAGGTTTGTTTCATTAACTTGAAAAGAAAGATGTTAAAATGTATATTTTTTTATAACATTTTTTACAGACTGAAAATTTAATCCTATTTGACTTCGTTGAAGTGTTTTATACCGTTATTTTAAATGAACCAGCAAAATTATTTTTAGCTTACAGAAGCATTGGTCTCGCCATCTATACATGTTTAGATTATAAATTTTATTCAAGCCTCAAACCATTTTGCCAGCTGAAACAAATTGTGGTGCATAATCTGTATGCTTATATATAAATGTGTTAGGCCAGCTTTTATAATTTTGAAAATTAATTTTCTCGTAATTAAATTATAATACAAAATTACTGTCACCCAGTGGCACGAAATCAACATTACTAGGTGACAAAAAATCAACGCTGGGTAGCATTTTTGTCACCCAGTTACAATGTTACACGAGGCCCTGATCTGTTAATGTCATGCAAATAAAGAACACGCTCAAACATCTCCATTTTGAATATCACACATAAAAATTTCATTTTTTTTTACCAGACCTTTTTATTTTCAAGACCTTATTTACTTTTCTCTACTTTTAATGTCCTGGACATGACATAAAACTGCATCCACGCTGCCTTGCGTGCTTTTGAGCAAAAGGCTAGGCAAGCAAAAGGTCGACAACCACCCGCTTATAACGGGTGGTTGTCGTCAGGATGGGTGTCCGGATGTGAAAACTTTTCACCAAATTATTCCTATGCCATCACAAAGAAAAACAACGGCCCCTAGGCCCAAGCAGGCCTTAAGTGGTCAAGGGGTGCCAAGAATCTCTGGGAAGTATGCAATAGCGGAAGGATGTTGCAGAAAAATTCAGAACGGCACTTATGGTACTTAGACTTGGAACGCTCAATGTTGGATAACTGACTGGCCGCAGCATGGAAATCGCAGAAATGCTTGAGCGTAGAAGGATTAACATCTGCTGCCTTCAGGAGACCCGATGGAAATCGAATGGTGTTTGTCATGTCAACTCAGACAAAGAAAAATATAAACTATTCTGAAATGGTCAAAAGACGGCCAAAAATGGTGTTGGAATTTTTGTCAGAGAACTGCTAGCCCAAGAAGTACTGAATAATAAAAGGATTAATTCACGTCTCATCTGGATCAAGCTTCGCCTAGAAAAGCAAACTAAGATTATTTTTTCTGCATACGCACTAAAGACAGGCGAAACAGAAGAAATGAAAAATGACTTCTGGGCTGCGTTCTCTCCCACCATCTCAACAATACCAAAATCTGAAACAATCCTGATTGGAAGCGATCTCAATAGCCACGTTGGAGAGAAAACAGATGGTTTTGACAACGTACATGGCGGTTTTGGCTATGGAGAACGGAATGAAGATGGCAACAGCATTCTTGAATTTGCTGAAAGTCACGGGTTTTATTTACTGAACACATATTTTAGAAAAAGGTTGGAACATCTCATAACATACAAAAGTGAGCCATCAGACACGAATTGATTTCTCCGCTGTCA